ATGGGTCCCAAGCATTACAGGAGGAGTATCTTCTTCCATCTTCTGCAGCCTGCTCCACCTCCCAGCCCCAGCCTCTGGCTTACTAATAAAGCAGTAAACTAAGGTATGTGGGGACAATAATATAAAGGGGCACTTTAAAGGAGACAAATAATGCAATGGTGACATTATGAAAACCATATAATTTACTGCTTTTTATAAAGTGATAAAATTTATGTTGAGTGGAATTAAGTTCAGCCTTTTTTTTGACCCTCCACAACAGTCATGGTTTCTCATGTGGCCCTTTGAGAAAATGAACTGCCCACCCCTGCATTAGATGTTAATAGTGTCTGTTGGGCAGCTGCAAATAAATAGTGTAGTGTTTTAACACTTGCACCAGGAAGGACAAATGGACTTTAGCCCTCTAAAACTAATTTTTGCCCAGCAAGTTGAAAAATAAGGACTGCAAGTTTTTTTGTTTAAAAAAAAAAGAAAAAACATTTGTGAAGTGGACTGTATAGTTTCCATGTTAGCTGTTATCAGAGAACTGTGAGATTTGTTCAGGAATTGAGTATAGACCAGATGAATTACGTCTTTGAAGACTAGTTGCACTTTGAAGACCTGAGGAATCTGTGGCACGGATTGCAGTAGTGGGATGCAAGAGTAGATTCTTCACATATTATATATATAGAATTGTTCGGGATACAAAGAAAATCCCACAGGTAACCTCAGGAGAAATACAGGCTGCTCTGGAAAAAGACAGTGGGGTTGTTTCCAGGAGCACAATGCGATGATACTTGAACAAAAATGAGCTGCATGGTCGCGTTGCCAGAAAGAAGCCTTTATTGCACCAATTTCACAAAAGCCCGGTTACAATGTGCCCCACAACACCTTGACAAGCCTCACAGCTTCTGGCACACTGTGATTTGGAGTGACGAGACCAAAATAGAATTTTATGGTCACAGCCATAAGCGCTTTGTTTGGAGCGGGGTCAGCAAGGCCTATAGCGACAAGAATACCATCCCCGCTGTAAAGCATGCGGGTGGCTCACTGATGTTTCGGGGTTGTGTGAGCTCTAAAGGCACGGGGAATCTTGTGAAAATTGAAGGCAAGATGAATGCAGCATGTTATCACAAAATACTGGCAGACAGTTTGCATTCTTCTGCTCGGAAGCTACGCATGGGACGCTCTTGGACTTTCCAGCACGACAGTGACCCTAAGCACAAGGCCAAGTTCACCTTCTAGTGGTTACAGCAGAAAAAGGTGAAGGTTCTGGAGTGGCCATCACAGTCTCCTGACCTTATTATCATTGAGCCACTCTGGGGAGATCTCAAACGTGCGGTTCATGCAATACGACCAAAGACTTTGCATGACCTAGAGGCATTTTGCCAAGACGAATGGACAGCTATACCAACTGCAAGAATTCGGGGCCTCATGAACAACTATTACAAAAGACTGCACTCTGCCTTTGATGCTAAAGGGGGCAATACACAGAATTAAGGGTATGCAGACTTTTGAACAGGGGTCATTTGTTGCCATAGAGAGATTGCTGGGATAGAGAGATTGCTGATATCACATGACCAGCAGACCAGAATCTTTGCTGGAACAGCGGCCCCTCTGTAACTTGGTGTTTCTTGATGTTAGAATGTTTTAGTGGCATGCAGTTTGTGGGGCAGGGCTCTTTATATCAAAGCATGATCAAAGAAAATGTATTTTACACATACATATTGCTTTAAAGAGCTCGGGTGTAGGTAACCGTGTCATTTTTTTGTAAGATCCTCATTCAAGCCGTTTTCTTTTCCTAAATACAGTTATTGTCTATTAATTACACAGCTAAGCATTTTATAAAATGGTGTTCATCAACAACAGGGGAGCTGCCCCATCTTCTTTCGCATTGTTAGGTTTATTTTTTAGTCACAAATGCATTTAGTGTGTACCTAATTGAAAACAATATGCAAATTCTGTTAAATAGAAGAAACAAATATAGAAAATTTCAGTGTGGTGAGACTACATTGTTCTCTCTGGTGTGTGATTTTTCTCTTGGTGATGTTCCTGTGTGTTATAAATCCAGAACATCGCTAGAGGCATCAGTCTTATTTTATAGGAAGAGACAAGCAGAGCTGGGTCTTCCCTCAGAAAACCTATTTTTATTTGGCTTTGTTGATGCTGGAGGGTATTAGGCTGGGAAAGAAGAGGAGAGAATAGCTTAAGGAGACCTAAGCACACAGAAGTCTTAATACTCTTGGGTTATTTTCAAATTAAAAAACAGTGCTGCTTTCCAGTGATTTCTATACCATACTGATTCGGACATGTACACACAGCATCTCTTTTTCAACTAGTCCTTTCTTTGTCAGTATAAGTCAGTTTGATATATTACTGTTTATTTTAAAGAAGTATTCCATTTAACCAGGTCAATATAAATCCCAGTTTCCTGATTATATTCACAAGTATAAAATGTGTCTGTCTCACCCAGAAAATATCATCACCATGATGGAATTAATATTTAACTGTTACAAAACATTTACACTTCTCACACTACAGTGCTTCCACCAGCTGGTTAACTACCAGATACCTGTAAAACTATACTGTATTATATCTACATAATATATGCTACACCTACAACTACCAACAAAACTTTGGTGGGATACTGACAACCCTTTCTAAATAATATAATATTGACATTGTGTTTGTTTATATGTATGTATGTACATTATGTATAGACATGTGCGATTCGTTTCGTTCCGAATCGAAATTCGGACGAATAATGTAACTCGAATGGGTGACAGTTGCCTCTTGTAATATGCGCAGGCATTAACACTGGCACCATATATTGTTGTGGCCCCCACAGGACTAAAAAATTTGTCCAGTGGCCACCGAGTAAATTGAGTTTGAGACCCCTTCTCTCTGGGTTGTTTGAGAGCCATGTATGACGTGTGCTTGCCTCCAAAGTGGTAAACCATTGTGATGAAAAGAAGCTGTATTATGTTTTCCATGTCATTTTTGCTGATGTCGTAGCTAGTCTGCTTACCATAGTGTGTTCTACAGCTTCCAGCCCACTTTTAAGAATACAACCATATACAGTATACAGCATCCTGTCCTATCCTATCCAGAAAAGACTTACTAGATAGTGTCCCATCATTGTTTACGTCAAACTTTAGCTTTGTTAGGTTGCTTGTCTGTACGCCCATTTAGGCCTGGACAGCAGCAACTGTCTCCAAAGGAACACTTCTTGACTCCAAATCAGTGGTGTACCTGGGGTACTGCCTCCGTTACTGCAACCTAGGGGGGCTTTCACAGCCTATACGCAATAAATACATTGCTGTACACAGAGTGGGTTGCACGCACTAGATCTGCCCCCTGCCTGCACATTGTGCATCATATGCTCCCAGCAATGGCCTTGTGCTGGCATGGTAGGGCCTATGAGGTTCAGCATCATGGGGAGAGATATGTAGGCAGTGTCTCCCCAGATACACAGCATTGCCTGGAAGGAAGTCAATGACCAGCAGCTTCTCCTACTGCAAGGCTGCCTCCTGCTTTTTTCTGCCCAGCCTGACAGTTGTCGACAAATCAAGCCTGTAACATCACTATCTCTGCCCCACTCATGTTCCCACCTTCCTTCCTTCCTCGCCCCCTGCCCCTGCATAATACTGCTGATCACTCTACCTCTTCAACCTGACCAGCACAATAAACCTCTCTGAACTGTAGGAGTAGGTCCTAACAGTATGCAGCTGTTCCAGCTTTCTTGCTGTCATCCAGCACACCTACCCACATTGTTTTCTTCTCATCTTCCCTTGTTTTTAGCAGGTAGCCTAGCTCCTAAATCTTCTTGCCTTTTTGCTCACTTGGTCTGATTGACACCTCTGTAATGCATGAGGCCCGTGGGTGGG